GATGGCACCCTCCGCTTTGGAGATCATCCTGCGGGAAGAGGAGAAAGCCCCCGAGTGACACTGCGTGGAAAAACGGTTTGAGTTCTAGCACGTAACCAGAGAAGACAAGGAGACTTCAAAAGGACCTCTGCTACCCTTGAACGTGCTATGGACTTGCCAAGTCAGCAGTTCTCAAGACCGTGATGTGTAAACACGGTAAGAACCCCACTCCACAGTGAGGCTAGCAAGGCTTTGTCACCTGGCGACATGGGAAATCCCCCAGCAGTGCCACAGAACATCATGCCTAAAGCCCTGCCAGTTTACAGACATAAATTCAGAGGCTTGGGTTTAGTAAGTGTCATTCTCTACTGCCTCTTGCAGTTACAGCTGGACTTCCCTTTTGTGTCAGTCTCCAATAAAAATGACCTCCCAATCATCACAATGCAGTATCTAGTTCCTAGGTATGATAGGTTGCCAACCACATGTTTCTTAAAACCCGACCAACAAAACCAAATTAAACTTCCAGGATGATTTTCCTAATAGTGGCATGTTCATCCTGTCTTGATACTAATGTGTCCATGGTCCCATATACAATTTTACCATTTTCCACTTCTTAATCTAGTTTTAAATACCATAAGGAAAGAGATCTTTGAATTCATTCTGCAACTTGATACCAACAGACAAAAAATCCCTACAACTGCTGCTGTACACACATCTCACCCCTTCTCAACATCCCTATTTAAAAAGCAACCTTGAATTCACCTCTTTATAATACCATCTCGTTCATGGAATTCGACAGCAATACGAAATGTCATCTTTTTTGGGCTTTGAACACGGAACAAAAAATGCATTCTTCACCTTTCCTTCCACCCAGTCTCCTAGGCACCCTTCTCCACATGGCCCACGCTTCCACTTGCCAGTAACCTTGCAGCAACTCAACAATGCAATGTCAGGCAGGAGGGTCTCTCCCTCTGACCCGATGCCAGCACGTACATGATATGACAGCAACTAACTGGCACTAAGCTGTCACACACTCGTGACCTCTTGGCCTCATAGCCCTCGGAGACTGATATCTCAGATTATTTTTCCCACCGGATGCAGTGACCTGCCTTCTTTTTCCAATTAAATCTCATTAGTTTCCCAGCACATCCAATTTGTTCCAGTCTTTCTGGATTGCCTCTTTGTGTTTATATATGCTTGTTACAGTCCCACAAATAGTAAAGTCTACTTATTTAATTTTAAACCCACAGATAAGAGTTAGACAGAGTTCAGTTTGGGTGGGTTGGTTTGTTTGGGTTTTTTTTATGCAATGGTTGTTTTTTTGTTTGTTTGTGGGCGATTTGTTGTTTCGTTGATTTTTTTTTTTTTAAGTTTCCATTACTTTAAGAAAACTTTGAAAGTTGCACATCAGAATTTAACAGGTAGATAAGACTTTTATAAACTCATTCATATAATGATGACTATTTACTTAATGCTTTTTGTCCAGCAAAGACTTCTCTACCTGAACCACAAGACAAAGTGCTATAGAGTTCTGCTCGCAGGACACCATTAGATACTAACTTTTCAAGAAACTACCACCATTATCATTCAGTATCTCAAATATTTGTCCCCTTGTTTCCACTCCTCTGTTGGCTGCCTCTCATTTCCGTATTAATCTTTGCTGAACCAAACAGGCTCTTTTCCCCTCCCATTTTCCAGCTATCAGAGAAGCTTTCACTACTAGGGAAATCAGGAATCTTCAGTATCATTAAACAGGCAGGCAGGGAGATTATTCAATCTTCAGTTAACATTTTATTTAACATCTTTAGATCCCAAAACCCTTTATGATGATCGTATTTACCTGGGGTTATGAGGCATTTATTTTTTAAATTTAAATTCTGAACTACTAGATATGCAGAACTGAGATGCACAATGCTGTTCTCTGCCAAGTAGTATTGATAATAGCTGTTCCTGTCACTAAGGGGGAATCAGGAAAGGTAACAGTGATGCTATGAACCGAGAGGGCATGAGATAATTATTAATGTAAGGCCTCTACAAATGGTTTTGGAAGTACATCATCAACTAGCAAAAAAGAGCAAAAGACAGAGCAGGCAGACTTGGAGAGCTTCTAAATGCTGTAACACTATTTGATGATCCTATATACTGCCAAGAAGTTCGTTTTTTACCTCAGCGTTTCAAGCCTCCTCTTTTGTTTCCCACTTTTGCTGTCACTGATTGCACTTTCAATATCTTCATGAATAAAGCTAGCCTAAAGAGACAAAAGCAGAAACCATCAGTTAACAGCTAGACTATCCAAATATACAAAATAAATACCTTCTCATGCACTTTTTTTAGATCACCTTTAGATTCTAGAATACCTCATCAAATCCCATTTATTTAAAATTTCTGGGATAAATTATTATACACAAATGGAACAAAGAAACACATGAAGGCACAATACTGTCTGGGAGTTAATATTTTTGTCACTGTTACAATCTTAAGCATTACCATCAGATGAGTATGTCATCTAGACACTAAATTTGTCTGAACAGCTGTAATTAGTCAACCATTATTGCATAAGCTATTTTTTCCCCTCTGTATACATCCTTTTTGCTTTTCTCAAGTATGTTAAGGGCAAGACAGTATAAAAAAAACAAACAACAAAAAAACCCCCACCAGCTACTGTAGAGAGTGGCAGCATAGAGGATTGAGGAAGTGAATTGTAGCAATACAGATTCCTTTAAGAAATAACAGCCTCCAATTTCTCTTTGATGAAGCACAAAATGAATTTTGCAGAACATTTCCTAATCTGTAGGTTCCTGCCTGTCCATAACTGCAGTCTGTCTCCACAGTGGCCCTCAAGTGAAATTTTGATGCATGTCTAAGGCATTATTTTAATAGATCTTGCATTAAATAGGTCACGGCTTCTCATAGGATTTAGAATGTTCTGTTAAATGCCTTCAGCTGACAAATTAATTTACCGCACAGGTTGTCAAAGCCCTAATCTGTCAGTATCTGGCTCGCTTTACAAGGTCCACATCTTTCTTTGTACCCTCGTAATGGAGAAGTATGTAAATTTTAGGGAGGAATATGTAACTTCTGCTGGGACCAGAAGACTGTTGAATTTCGGGTCCAAGGGGCTTAAGGGACTATAATGAACTATAATGAACTTAAGGCTATAATGAACTGCACGGCAGAATATGGACAAGGGATACCATTAAGATTACAGAATTAATAGAAAACATTTTATGAGATTTGAGGAATTTAAACCCAGAATTCCATTAATCATGCTCTTGGTATTTATTATTTAACAATTACTTTTTGTTTTAGAAAACACCGAATGCCCCAGATATTACTGATTTTTACTAAGTTTTTATTGCAGAAGCTCCTTAGGTTCATGGTAACTTCTAATGAAAAGCATAAGAAAGACAAGGGAGAAAGAGCTAACCTTTCAAAACCAGCCAAGTCTCATGGGTAAAGAACAAGACCTGGGGAATGGTCACAGACTCAAAGAATACCTCAGAAGAAAAGGGGGATCTTGGACTTCCAAGTCATGCTTATGTGCTCTGCATTTTTATTTGTACACAGAGGAACAACTTCAAAAGATGAAAGTCTGAAGAAAAGAGACCACCTCTACTCTTTGGGAAGCTGGGTCCAAACAGACCTCAGAAAAGGTCCCTATATTATTTAACATAATGCCACCTGAACTTCTCACAGGAACCCAGATTTCATTGAAAAAGCAAATTCTGTGCAATGAATCACTTGTTCACACCACTCTCATTATACCAATTTCAAAATGATGGCACAGTGTGACTAGCAATATGTTGTTTGAAGACAATTATACGAAATACTACAAAGGAATTAAATCCACATTAAATTATGAATTGGAATTTAGAGAAATATCAATTATACAGCATAATTAACAGTAATTAAAATGTATAACCTTGGAAATCAAGTACTGTAAAACACATTTTAAAACTTATTTATGCTTGAAGGAAATATTTTCATCCAAGATGAACAATCCCTTTCTTTGTTTTGCCCCTCCTGCAAGTAATATTTTCATTTTCATTATCTGTCCAGCAGAGCAGAGATGCAGAGAGGTGAGAATGTAGGGGTTTAATTGTTCAGTGACAAAAAGAACTGAAAAAGGGGAAAGTCTAGGCAAGACTCATGGCTCAGATGAATTCTTTGCAGATTATAAAACAAATCTAAGAGAACTCAAACTATTTTACTCCACTTTCTTCAGAAGTGTGAATGCAAATCACATACATATTCCTGAGCTTTACTTACTTGCAGACCTCAATGAACATCTACAGAGCCCCAAAATCAATATTTACAATAACAACATATCTGAACATGCCCTAAGCCTTTGGCTTACATACTAGACTACTCTCTTGCAAGACATACTACACTACATTTATTATCATACTGTAACTTGTGTTGACAATCATAAGTGCTTTAAACTTAAAGCAAATTCATAAGAATAAAAGAACTGAATTATTTTCTATGAATCAGTTAATTTGATTTTATCCACTCTACTTGCCAATTCATAAAATTTCCCCTATTCAAGTAAGTCATAGCAGATCTCCATTATTATCTTACCTTAATCTCATCACACTGGAAAAGATGTAAATCCGGCTTGTTTTGGGTTGGTTCTTTACATACTAATGCAAGAATTGAATTGTAATTGCATGCATTCATCACAGCTTGGCAATGCTGAATTGTGCTTAAAGGAAAATTCTCCAGTTCATTCTGTCAGAAAACAAACAAAAAAAAAGACACAAAACCAACCATAAAACACCACCTTACTATAGAGTGTCCTGATCTCAGGAAAGCTGCACGAGTTAAAAAGGGAAAGTGATAATAAGCTAATTAAAATACAAAATCTCACATACACGATTTTTCTGCCCATTCCCTTTCTCCTCTCTCTGAAAATGAGACTGCCACTCACAGATCTTACCTTTGATTCCAAGTCCACCAAACTGACAGCTTTGTCATCTACTTGAAGAATCATATCTTGAGTCCACACTTTGCCTTTGGCATCCAGCAATTTCAGCTTCCTTATTCCATCATCTACTGTAATCATCGCCTCTTTTCGGTCCAGAACAAAGGTGGTCAAGTGCTAGTGAATAGGATGTACATTTAAAAAAAAAAATAATTGTAAATTTTCCCTATTGCTGAGTAGCGTCAGTACTTAAATTACTAGAAAATAGCAATACAAATTATTAATGAATAAAAATGCCTTTGTGTATGACAATAAGACATAAGCAGGTTTAGTCCACAATGTCATTTTAAGCCAACTGATTTTTGTAACTCACTCTTTGTCATCCTCTGCCATTTCCTCACTAAAGTAAGTGGTTAGACTCAAAGGCATATTCTGACATCTTTCAGGTATCAAAGCTAGAATTAAACCCTGACTATTTAATTAGCTGCCCTGAGGAGTGAAAACCTGTCTATCTTGGCAAGCTGAACCCAGCAAGCATCAGCAGAAGCTTCCCAGAAACACCCTGCCAATGTACCTCCACCACCACCCTGACCTGGAGTGCCCTCATCTCTTCCTGAGCTGCCAGCTAGCATGCTGATGGCTACCACGATGGGTGTGCACCTGACAGGGACACCTTATGGACAGGCTAGTTGCTTCTTTTATGGATCACAGTAGAAACTTAGTATATTACTTTTGCTCACCATCAAATTGGAATATTCTCCAGATTCAATTAATTGTCTTGAAATTAAGTTCTGCCTCACAGACATCATCTCAACTAGCTTCCCTGTCCTTATGGTTTTGACAATTTCTCTTTCAACATGCTAACCATGCAAGAAAACTCATTAAAAGATTTGATTTTACGCAGGCATAAATACAGCTTCACATTCATATTGAAGACCTGGTTACGTTTATTCAAGCTGAACCATCTTTGATATGTGGCTGCACATCTATCTTCTAAGTAACCTTTTTTTAAAAAAAATAATTTTGCTTTCTTCTATTACAGGATAACAGCACTTAGTAATGACAGACAACAGAGCAGCTATAAGCTGCATGTAATTGATCAAAGTGCTTAAAAGAAGTGAAACACACTGTACTGGCTGCTCACAGATGAATGCTTAGACTCCAAATACAAGTACTAATTTTTATGCTAGTACAGTACCAACACCATTACAAAGAAATAAAAAAAAAATAGACAGACAATTAGAAGCAACACAAGTATTCATTTGTAATCTGATCGTAGGATAGAAGAACTTGAAACTAAGACTCTTCTGCATATGATATGACAATTTACAGCTGATTTAAAAGCCAGCAAAAGGAGCTATTGAATTTGCAAGACTTTTTTTTAAATACATGACAATGGTCTGATAGCAATGGCAGAAACTAAAGTAAGACTGCGGAATGAGGCATTGCATTCAAAGGTGCTTAACAGGCTACATGTGGGCACCCAGGCTTACTTTGCTGAATATTTTAAATAAATCTACTCTTGGATAAAATATGACAGCAGCATGCAGTAATTCTGCAAAGCAGCTTAAGACAGGAAGCAACACCCTTTGCACTTCACACTGGTGAAGAATATGTGCAGGAAGAATGTATTTATTTAATTACTACTAGTAAACTAACTACAGCTTTCAGGGGTTAATACTCAGCTCTTTCTGAATGTTCTGTCACCTCTGCCAACTATAACTGATCAAAGTATCCATTCTAAATAGCATCCAGCATGCCTTGCCAAGAGCACAGGGGTTTTCAGCCCTGTCTCATCCTTGCAACAAGCCAGGTTCAGAGATAGGGCAGCACAGCACATTGAACTGATATCCCATTCAGAAGTGCTGTCCCTTTGCCAAACTGCACACAACTTTGCTTACATTTTTCTGCTTCCAAAGTTCAGCTCATTACGACAGAGCTATAGAATTTGAGACATTTCAGTGTAACCTACTCTGAAGCGACCTCAGGCTGGCAGGACACTCTGGAAGATGTATATGCCTTCAAGCATATGTATCCTCAAAAATCATGTAGGTAAAAATAACCGTGTGTAACTGGAAACTATAATTGGTATATCAGTCCTGGTCTCACCTCTACGTGATACTGTGAGGTTTCGGATATGCTGCTGGCACTGTCTCGTGCATAATTCTTTCTTTGTTCTAGAGATAGAAGGAGAAAAAAGAACAAGTATTAATTCACATTCTTATCCTGCTGTTTTGAGTACTTCTCAGAGATACTTGAGAAATAGTTGTATATATGAAAACAGAAGATGAGTTGCTGTTAATATCTGTATTTGGACAGAAGAAACCTTCTCAAGGATCTTACTTACATCAGTGACATTAATAGCAAGTTGGTGAGTGCAAATAAAAGCCAGTCCTGACTGAAATGCCAGATTATTAAAATCACTGATTTGCTTCTTTGGTAGCAATACAACAACTAGCATCAGGCTTACTGTACTTGTATGAATGCACTTGAAAGCAAAAGTGCTTTCTGATGTGTATATATACAATTAAATCTGCAAAACAACAAAGCTATGCATAAATCAGACCTGAATCAACATCCTTTATTTCTGCCTAAAGTATTCAATCTGATGAATTACTAATGTAGAAATATGCATGGAAAGGAATGAGAAAAAAAGACACATCAAATATCTCTAAAGAGCTAACAAAACACAATGCTGCAAAATCAGAAACATAATTTGCTTTTTACTCTACACAATATATTAATATTAAACCAGGAGAGGAGGGAGGAGAAAAAGCAAAATGAAGACACAACACATGCTCAAACCACAAAGTAATGAATTTAGGTGAACACTGAAGAAACCTTTCCAGCTTTAGTGGAAAAAAAAATGAATGCAACATTCAGAAAGTTCTTCTATTTCACTACAACTGCTTAAGTGCCCGATCTGGAACACCAGGAGCTTTGTCTAAGGAAGAAAGTCACTAGATGACAATTTCTTTGGTTTTGTTTTTGCTTTTTTTTTAAAGAAAGTACCTGATATACATACAAAATACAGCAATCTCCTCATACTTAGAGTACTTGAAGGTAAGAGTGTGTGATTCTGTTGACAAGAAAATTAAGTTACTTTTTTCAAAATAAAAATCCACTAGCAAGCACATGATCTGTGACATACAGAGATCTCCAGTGAGGGCACCATAAAAGCCACACTGTAAAAGTCTCTTCTGTGACCAGGGTTCCTTCATACAGGAATTTCAGATGCTGACAAAGAAACTAGTGTCCTCATTTTCAGTTGTCAATTGCTGAAGTATTTATCACCTTTTATAATCACATCACTATCTCTCCAGTTCTCAGTGACTTTCATGAAAGACATTTCAGTTTATGAAATCCCTTACTGGCTTGAAGCCTCCCTCCCAAGATGACAAACATCATTAATGCAACAGAGCCATCCTGCTCCTGTACAGCAGCCACTCAGCCTGCTTTAGAAAGAGAAGTGTGCAGTGTAATCAGCCAAAAGGAAGAACACCATGGATTATCATAATTTTTAACTAGCTGTGTGAATATTTCAAAATAGATGTCTTATTTTTATTGTCCATTATTCTGAAATCCCAGGGCAGAGGATCTGCATTAATTCCAACTGTAATTACTATTTCTGCTTTTGCAGCATGTTACTTAAAGTATTTTTTTGGTTTCTTTTCTTTTTAACCAAACAGAAGCACACACACATGCACACCCCAACAAAACAATCTGCAAAGCAGCACTGTCTGATTTGCTACCTTTCTTTTTTTGTTTGGATGATGATCTGAAGAAGTAAAGTCCATCTGTTCCTAACAAAACAAGGGAATTAAAAAGCAGTATCTAGTTTAACCCCATAGAATTATTTGGATCTGTAAGGGGATCAGTTAACAGTCTTCTGTTATGGACTGTAAATGATAGTTAAATGCTTTCCAGTAAAAAAGAAAATATGCTTTAAAAAAAGGCCAGTTGTTTCAATTAACAATTCATCAAATATCGAGGTTTGATTTTTATGATCTTTTTTAAGGTGAACAAAAATATTATCCTTTCAATGATATTAAATTAAACAAGGATAAGCAATTTCACATCCAGTGTAAGACTTATAAATCCTGTAAACAATAACAGTTGGAGTTGTTTTAAATAAACAAAGAAATCCTGGCATATGTAGAGGCTTCAAAGGAATTAAAAAGCAGACAATAAGTTTTGCAAGACATTCATCGCTCTGCTTCACAGAAATTTTGTCCTGTGTTATGACAGATATGTAAAAATATTTGTATCACTGATTAACACATCCTATTCCACAGAGTACAATGGATTTTATACATGATAGAGCTTTCTGAATACTAATAAAATCTGTAGTTGCCTACATACAAAAGCCAAGGAGAGCCCCTCAAGTTCTGCATTCTTAATTACAACAGAATAGTAACAAGAACCTCAATAAAATTTCCAATTAACAGAATTCAATCCGTGTTTGTGTTAACAAACAAAAAGCATGGTCACCACAACACCTGACAGTACATACTGAGTTCAGCACAATTCCTATATACTTATTCATTTATTTAATGCACATGATTATTAGAACCATCTAGAGATCCAAGTTATTCATTTAGAATAGAATAATTTCAGTTGGAAAGGACCTATAACTATCAACTAGTCCAACTGGCTGACCACTTGGGCACTGACCAAAAGTTAAAGCATGTTATTAGGGGCGTTGTCCAAATTAAACACTGACAGGCATGTGGCATCGACCACCATTTCTTGTTATCTTTCTACCACAAATCACTGGGTAATGTGTGTCACTTACACAGACTTAGAGTCTCCCTTTTCTGGGAGGCCAAAAAAGTGATGCCAATTGAACTCTACAGTGAAGCACACAAACTAAGACTGGGGAGGCTTCCAAGTCTTGTTGCAGTTACAGACCAAACAAAAAAAGATGGGGAACAGGCTCTTCATTACTGCTCAGTGCTGCAACTTTCACGTGGTACTGGATGAGCTAAGAAGTGGCCTAGAGCAACTGTGAATGTTACCAGTACTGCTATAGAGGAGCTGGAGGTAGATACAGTGGGTAACTGCTCCATCCTGAAATAGTGAATACTTTTCTAAGTACCCTAGCACCAGGCAAAATTCTTCCATTGCTTTTGGAAGGGTTTTTTTCTCTAGCCTTTGTTTAACCGTTTCACAACAGAATGCTTGGAAAGTGAGTCTCCATCCCATAGAGGGTCAACCCAGCTGCTGATCACCCAGGCTCCCTCACAGATGGTTTTCTTGGCTGCCTGGCATAAATTGTACTGAAGGAAGAATGAATAAGTCTACCCCCATGATATTATGAACATAACAGAAAGTAAAAATAAATGAACTGACCAAAACAACAACAACAAAACAAAACAAAAAAAAAAAAAAAAAAAAAAACCAAAGCAAAACCACACACTAGTATCTAGAATGCATCCCCTTTCCTGTGGCTTTTGCCTGTATCTCAAAACTAAATCTCAGCCTCTGCTTTCTCCTAGTGCCTGGTTTCTGAACCTACAAGTTCTCACCTTGCCCTCAGAAAAGGGGACACAAATCCTTTTGCACCCCCTTCTGCTGATGTGCTCCACTGCCTTGAACTTCTAGGAGAATTAATATGAATCTGCAAACCTCTTCTGTGTCCTTCTACCAGATATCACAAGCTGCTGGGCTTCTTCCTACAACACTTTCATATTTCTACTTCCAAGTCACATATATCTGAACACATGACTCTCACAATCTTCTTCATCCATTTGTAGCTCCTTATTTCATTTCACTTCCTATGAGTTGCCCATTGCCATACTTTGAAAATGTAGCTTCCATCTCCTCAACTCTTTCACATATCAAAGTGGCTGATCATAAATATTAATCTGACTGGCTTTACAGGAACCCTGAAAACACTTCTTGACTTATTACATGATCTTCAAATGCAAGTAACTTATATCCTACTATTAAAAATCAGCAAAAGAATTTGCTGACTTACTGAATGTCAGTTCTGGCTGGGATGGAGTTAATTTTCTTCACAGCAGCCTGTAGAGTGCTGTGGTTTTGATTTGTGACCAAAACTTTGTTGACAACCTAGGAATGTTTTAGCTCTTGATGAACAGTGTCAAGGCCTTCTCTGTTTCCCACACTGCCACCCCAGTGAGTAAGCTGGGTGTGCACATGTTGGGAGTGGACACAGCTGGGACAGACGACCCCAACTGTCCAAAAAGTTATTCCAGATTCTATAATGTCATGCTCAGCAATAAAACTCGTGGGTTTCCAAAGTGGCCCTTGCTCAAAGACTGTATGGGCATTGGTCTGCTTGTGGGAGGTGGTGAGTGAATGCCTTTGCACTGCTCAGGTTTTTTTCCTCCCTGCTCTTTCCTTCACTTACAAAGCTGTCTTATCTTGATCCATCAGTTTCTTCTTGCTTTTGCCCTTCCAATTTTCTCCCCTATCCTGACTCCAAGAGGAGACAGGGGAATAAGGAAACAACTAGTTGGGGTCAACCCCTGACCCTGGACAAAAAAAAAAATTATTAAAAATCCCACAAAGAAAGAAAACCAAAGGTTTTGTATGCTACATTTCACTCTCCTAAATCCTCTCAATCAATCTCAGCCTCTCATGAGTCCCTTCAATGCATGAAGAGAGTTACTGAAGCTAAAATGAAATTCTGCAACAGAGATCTCCAAATAGTATATATAAAACTATCAGAACTATTGAGTTTTTTCTATTTACTCTATTTACTGCAGCTTTTACATCCAACATGTAAAGTACAGTGCAGCCTTAATACTGAAGTTAGCTCAAGCCCTCCTGATATGCTGCACACAATTTACCTAAGGTATTTTGCCTCTGATAAAGGAAAGAAAACAAAATAAAAAAGGATCATGGCAGAAGACACTTGAGTTAAATTCTTAATCACAATCTATAGCAAATGAAACCCAGAGGAATCTGAACAAAATAAAATCTCTCATAACGCAAGGGCAATAAACTTAAAAGCAGAACATCATTTCACTTATAGGTCCTGAATGTAAGATCTACTAGCTACTAAACCTTTCAAAGGAACAGAAACATCGATCCACGGAAATTAATATTCTTCCCACTGTCTGATGTGGACAGATGCTACTGCTAGTTTTGCCTTTGAGACTTACTGAAGTCACTAATTATCATGAATGGACCATGTTTCTGCTTTCAA